TACCCGAATTAACGCACACATACACAACCGCCTCCGCACACAAACGGCTCCGATTAGCGGCCGGCGATGCTGTAGCTCCCCGGCCGTAAACGGTGCGATCGCGGCGTCGTCCGTAACCTCACCTTCGGACAGCTCCAGATCCAGCTCCGCCAGCAGATCTCTCACCTCCTTCGGCAGAGCCGACACGTCCACGCCTCGGTCGGCCATCCTTCAGATCCAGGGGGAAAAAAAAACAAAAACCCAAAATCGTCCTTTAAGCAACAAAAACACGACTCACAAGACGGGATCACCATCCAGCTCCGCCATGGTGGGGAGGGCGATGGAGCCGGTCACATGACCGCCTCGCCGGGCCAGGAGCGGCCGCTCTGCTGGCCGTGTAGCAGCGCAGCCAGGCGCCAGAATACCGTGCCCTCGGCCGGGCCCCCCTCTAGCGCCGCTTACCAGTCACTGCACGCAAGGCTCACAGCACAAACATCTAAAGCGGAGTCTCATTGCGTGTTAATCAAGACCGATGCCATAGCCGACACTCTCCACTCTCCCCTGCCTCTGGATTGGAATATATCACACAGCATACGTAAACCCCCGGTCCTCCTCCCTAGGTGGCCTGCTTCACCCGGAGCCAAATCACTTATTCCGGGGTCGGAGCGTTTCATCGGGAGCTGGCGCCTCCTAACTGTACGCTTACGTTTTCCAAATGAACCAACCCCCCTCTCTCCACCCTTTTGTGCAACTGAAGTGTACGTCCAATAAAAAGAGAAGAAACAAACAAAAAAGGCAGCAAAGGAGAAAAATTAAGATGAAGCTGCCAGACAAAGTGGGAAAAGGAAGCTTCTGTCCCATCTCCTGTCACTGTTATGACTCAGATTACATCATAGTCCTTGGTGAATGATTCCATTTTACAGTGTCAATGATATGCAGCAGAGATTGCATTCCATCAGGGCTTACTTTGGGACCATTAGTACCAATGGAACATTGTTTAAATGCCACAGTCCACCTTAGTATTGTTGCTGACCATGTCCATCCATCTACAGTATGACCACAGTGTATCCAGCTTGTAATGGCTAACTCCAGCAGGATAATGCACCGTGTCACAAAGCTCATATAATCTCAGATGGGTTTCTTGAACATGACAGTGAGTTCACTGCACTCAAATGGCCTCCACAGTCACCAGATCTCAATTCAACAGAGAACCTATGAGATGTGGTGGAACGGTAGATTCGCATCCAAGAGGTGCAGCCGACAAATCAGCAGCAAATGCTTAATGCTTTCATGTCAACATGGACCAAAGTCTCTGAGGAATGTTACAAGCATCTTGTTGAATCGATGCCACGAAGAATTAAGGAAGTTCTGAAAGCAAAAGGGTGTCCAAACCGGTACTAGCAAGGTGTACCTAATAAAGTGGCCAGTGATTGTATATATTGTGGAGCTGCTCTGGTGTAGTGTGTAGCTTAGTGTGCTAAACCCCTCTGTCTGTAATCAGAAGGTCACTGCTTCAAGCCCAGTCTTGGCACATCTACAGGTCCTTCAGCAAGATCCTTAATCCCCAGCTCCCAGGGTGTTACCAAGGTGGGGACTCGGCTCTCTTGGGAAAACAATGCGGTCACTTCTGAAAGCACCAAGTCTACTCCTTTTAATTGAAATTTAACATTTAGTACCAAACCATCACTGCGCACTGTCTCTTTAATAAAACATCTGTGCAGGCCAAATGCCTTCAGAGTAACAGTTAAGGGGGGGGGGGGTTTACCATATTTGTATTATACCTTAAGGTATAATAAGTTACCATATTTGTACCCAGGACATCCAAATGACAATTAGATGCTGAAAAAATTATCATAATAAAAAATACAAATGCACACACATTTGCTGCATTTTATCTGCATTTTACGTTTTTGATTGCAGTCACAGATTTTTATAAAATTGAGTTTCCCCTTGTGGGGACTGGAAAAATGTCCCCACAACGTCAAAACAATAGGTTTTTTTCACGTTGTGGGAACATTTGGTCCACACAATGTAATACACACATAACACATGCATACATACACTATTTATTTATCTATTTGAATAGATGGTCGCGTCATCTTCCGGATTTTGTAGCTTATGTGGGAACCTCACAGAGCCTCACAGGGTCTCACAGGGCCTTGTTGTCTCCTCCTTCGACTCCTCTTCTTTTTCTGCCTGTTTCTGTCTCCTTTGGGGGGCTGTAAACATGGGCAGCACTGCATCACATCTCCTGCGCAGTGTCACACAGGATGCTGACATGCCAAACTTTCTACCGTAGAATTTGAAACTCCTTAAATATGATTGCTAAAGTACTGCAAAAAAAGTCTCTGCATGTTAGTCCATAAAAGCAGGGAGTTTTATAAGAGGATTAACAGCAGCAGCAACAAAGCCAGACACCATCTACTCTGCTCTCCACCTTAAAACTTCTGCCTCTCTCTACTGTCAAGCTTTGTGCTGGATCCTGACCTTCCAGGATTCACACATTGTTGCTGACGATATGTATGGCTGGGTGTCCTACTGCAAACAGAAAAAAACCTTTTTCTTCCCATGATCCCTCCCATATTTGGACTAAACATGTTACAATCAGTAAGCAATAAAAAAAATAACAAAACAGCCTTGTGACCCTGATTTTCATACTCTGTTCTATAGCGATTGTTTAAACAAATGCTTGGGAATTAGTTTGCTTTTTCAGAGTATAAATGAACATAGCATAAAGCCACTTTCAGCTCATGGGCCACTGTGCTTTCCTATGAAAGTGTGAGGAATGAGAAGGGAAATGTCTGAACAAAAAAGTAAGCATATGTCTGCAGCTAGCATAGACTACAAAAGGGCTACTTTGAGCAGTCCCTCTTGCTTATGGCTATGCAACACTGAACAAGCCCAATCTCATCTGATCTCAAAAGCTAAGCAAAGTCAGGCCTGATAGAATTCATATGGAAGGCTGTCTGGGAGTGCCAGGTGATGTAGGCCTTTCTCTGTGCTGGTTTACCAGGGGGTGCCAATTCACGTCACAAATTTAAAATAAAGATCCCTCTTTAACTTTCTAAATTATTGTTATTGGTAAATCAGTAGCTTCCTACACATATCTTTATGCTAATCACTGATATAATTCTTGCCAAGCTCACCGCTTTCTTCTCCCTTTTAAAAACTACTTTATTATAATCGATAGCATACTTTTCGACTCCAGTTTAATGCGCAGTGGACTTCACAGGTGGATTTGGGCTGGTAACTCCGCGGGCTGTCCGCAGAAGCCGTCGGGGGTATTCCTAGAGACATAAGGCTATTACTCTGTGTATTTAGTAAATTGCTCTGGCCGGTACTGAAAAAGAGTAAAAAGAAAAATTTGCGGCTCTGGGAGGAACGGAGAAGACCGAGGCAACCTGCTGATGAGCAGGGTGGGAGGGGGGCTGATTGGACAGTGGGGTTGCAGCGTTGACCAGGTAAAAAACATTGCAGTGTGTGATGTCTACCAAGTAATAAAAATGAAACATGCAGTTTTGTTTTCTAAGCAGAACCACAGCAGAGAAACAGGGCAGCTCAGCCACCCCCCCAAAATATAACTGGGTCCCCATGGCTACCCCAGTTAAACTTATTTGTAGGTGCCCCTGGTCAGGGTCTCGGGGAATAGCAAATAAATATATTAAATGGTTCATTTGATCATATTCACGTTAGTTTAGTGTTAAATCTGATTCATTTCGTAAACTGAAATAAAATAAGATACGAACATAAAAGAAAACTACAACTCAACGAAGTGCTTCTAAACTAAAAACAAATAAAAATAAACTTCAGGTGGTATCCGTTACCGTTTTTAATACCATTTAGATAAAGAAATGATTTGATCTTTTAGTACCATGAATAATATCTGTAATAGGCCTATGTTTTGCCGATTTTGAGGATATTAGTGCATAATGGACGCTGTGTTTTCATGATGGATTCTCTAAAGATCAGCTCTACAACTTTCAGTCTATCCTAGAAATAACATTTCAACTACTGAAAACGTCAACTGAAAATAAAATACATAAACAATGAATAGAAATGTATCTTTAAGATAAAAACTAATAAAACCACACAAATCAAAATACAGTTAAACAGAATTTCAAATGAAATTTCTATTTGCTGTAATCAAGTAGTGATGACTTTTTACCAATCACTTATATCCAGTTCAACAGAAAATCACCACACGTGCATTTGTATATTTGCACCATTGAACATTCTAAACGGTACTTAGAGTTTTTCTCAGTCGCTTTCGTACATTTCTTGAATCATCCTTAACATTTGCAAAACACTAAATGCATTTCTCGAAACAATTCGTACAAACAGCACCACAAGATGGATTACCTGCAAAAGCTTGTAACTTTCTCAAAATCCTTAGTTCATCCCTCAAAAGTAAATATTTATGTCAAGGAACTTGTCAGTGCCACCAGAATAACAAGTCCTTGTGACATTTTTTACAAACTCAAAGTATTTTCCGATATAAACTATGGCTAAGGTTTTGATGACAATGATTGGAAATGCACAAGGATGCACTTCTTCTGCATGGCATATATCAATTTCAACAGTACAAAATTATTCACACTGTAACACACAAACACACACATACGTATGTACACACTATAAATATGCATACATATGTGTGGGCTACAATATATGTCCAGTATGTATAAAGTATATTTACTGTATACTATAAAATGCAAGTGGAATACTGTAACATGAAGCATTGCAGTAAGTATACAATATTACAGTACTGTGCACATTGTTGGATTACATACCTGTTGTCTCTATGAAACCTTTGAATGACTGAGGACACGGTTTGCACCCTTCGACCAGCCTCAGCCATTATAAGGCCTTGATTGAGGACATGGTCCACAATTGTGGCTGTTATTTCACCAGGAACACGCCCCTGTTCTTGGCTTCTTCTACCTCTCCTTCTGTTTTCCCTCCCTACCCTTCCACCATGCTGCTTTACTCCTCTTCTTCTTACCAGCTGTTTACTCTGTTCATTTCCTTGTCGTGCTTCCATTGTCAGATTGTAACCCTGTGTTGTGCTCTGTCAATATGTGCTGCCAAATGAAGGTTCATGAGATGCACCTCTGAGCCATTTTGGAGATCTGGTTGATCACTGGTCGGTCTAATGCTTCAAACAGTCTCCACTATTGGTGAAAGTCAAGATTCAACTGAAAGAAATTTATAGATCAGGACACATTTATAAACAATAACTGTAACAGAGATGTATAGAGAATATGCTTGACAGATTATAACAACTGGCTCAACCATTTTGCATGTAATGACTTGTACAATGAACCAATGCCTAGATGTTTTGGGGGGTATGATTATTCAACAGAGAACCAGTATAATACACTTTGACCAATATGACATAAACAACTGATAATGTAGGAATCGGCAGATGATTGTACATAATCATTTGCATGACTGTGCCAAAGCATTTGCAATTTGATGAAATGAATGAGACTTTGCATTTATGATGTGCACTAGTGACTCGATGAGGTGGAGGTTGTACAAGTAGGTATGAGAATTTCATTTCTGATCTGAGAAATGTATCAAAGCGACTGAGAAAAATTGTAAACAAACAACATATATTTGCAATGCAGCACAACTTACATTATGGTTCTTCACTGCATAGAACCAAAGACATCACAATACAGATACTAGTTATGCTATCATTCCTGGAAACTAAAAAGCCAGTTATGTTGATTTGAAACAGCCTCTACATGCCCACTCTGTATCTAAAACATTGAGAAAATTCTCAGACAGTCATTAATATGCCATATTCTCATTGGATACTATTCTCTCGGTAGCTGGGCTTTTAGCCACGATTGCCGACTTTGTCATATATGTAGGTCTCTGCAGGCTGGAGTAATGGGGCACGTCGAATGGGTGCAGTGCAGATTCTATTAATGCAACTGCATTAATTAACTTAACTTTCATTATGTAATTAAATATTGATTTTTAATTTTACTTATCCTCACCAAATTTCATCCTATACTTTTGGAATATATTTACTTATTTTTTTAAACTCTTATATTATATATAATAAATATATAGCAATATTTTAAGGGCTCAGTAAATCATTTAGGTGTGATAGCCAGTGTACAGAGTTGCAAGTAATCATAAATTTGGAAATGGCTAACAATCAATAACAATGCTAACAATAATTTATGCGACACAGGGGCACAAGCCTGAAATTACTCCAAACAATGTTTTGCTTACTGCTTTTTGTCCGCTTTTACATCAGATGAGAAGATGACAAGTGATGTATCTGAATCTGTTTTATTTGTTGAAATATAATGTATTTTCATTTTGAGGAGTACCAACACTGCTCTCTACAAGTGAGTTTTTGGTAAATAGTATTGTTTTGGTAAATCGTATTGTTTGCTTTACTTGTCCTGCTGCTGTACCACCATTCATCCGAGAGGAGTACCACTGCAGCCAGGAGCTGAATGTCAAGTGGGAGGGGCAATGCCGAGTAGGAGGGGCAATGTTGAATAGGAGGGGCAATGTCAAGTGGGTGGGGCAATGTTGAATAGGTGGGGCAATGTGGGAGGGGCAATGTCGAATAGGAGGGCCAATGTTGAATAGGAGGCGCAGTGTGGGAGGGGTTTATCGTTTAACTGTTATCATCTGATACCCTAACCCCAACCCTAACTATAACCATAAACCCCTCCTACCCCTAGTGATAAACCCCTCCTAATTGACATTGCCCCTCCCACTCGACGCTTGGCTCCCAGCTGCAGTTATATATACTTGGTTCATCCTGCTGTCAGAAGCAGCACCATCACTTCCCTGCCCTCCGCATTCAGACTCAATTCTTAAAATTTGGATTGTATAAATTAGGACTTTGTAATCTTGTTCATTTGACTTCCCCTGTGGCTCCTGGAGGTTGGTATCCCCCCTTTCAATCTGGTTCTTCCCAATGTTTCTTCCTGCTAGGGAGTTTTTCTTTCCGACTGTCACCTCTGGCTTGCTCACTGGGGGCTTTGGGCAGGGATAATGTAAAGCACTTCCAGACAATGTAATGTTGTGAAAATGTGCTATACAGATAAAACTGAATTGAACTGAATAAAATTAAGTGTAAAAAGGTACTCTCAAGTCCTCCAACTCTGATGCTTGGGTCCTCCTACTGCTAAATCTTTCAGAATCATCCAAGTGCTTAGCGCCCTCTAATGGTGAATGTCATATTTCCATAAAGGAATTTTGTGATTAAAAATATATATTTCATTCCAATATTTAAAGTCGATTCGTTGACCAAAATTGACTACTTGACTACTGGTGGACCATGAGGCGGGGGCCTCCAGCCAGTTGCCAAAGGCGGTCCAAAGGCGAACGGGAGATTTGCCATCCCGGAAGCAGATCCTTGTGAAATATGCTGTGCAGCTCGATATGACCTACAATGGCCTGAGGGATCACTGTCAGAGAATAACAGACATTTGATTTATTTTAGGGACAGTACAAGTGGAAACCATTTCCCATAGGACATACTGTATATTAACGTGTCCATTGTCTATTTGTGTTCCTAAACCTAGTAGATCCTTTGCTCAGTTATAATACAATCCATTGACACACTCCAGAACAATGGATTTTAGAAATTCTGAGGTCATTCTGAGAATGGGCTGTATTAACAAAATAATGTCACATATTAATTGCCAGCTAGTGGAATAGCGCATCACACCTCTGGGATCTGGGTTCTAGTCTCCATCATGGTTCCATGTGTGTGGAGTTTGCATGTTCTCCCTGTGTCATTGTGGGGTTCCCTTGGGGTATCCTGCCCCCCCCCCCACAGTCCAAAAACATGTTGAGGTTAATTGGACTTACCAAACTTACCAAATGCATGTGTGAGTGACTGGTGTGTGAGTGTGCCCTGCATTGGGTTGGCACCCCATCCTGGGTGTGTGAGTGTGCCCTGCATTGGGTTGGCACCCCATCCTGGGTGTGTGAGTGTGCCCTGCATTGGGTTGGCACCCCATCCTGGGTTGCTCCCTGCCTCGAGACCATAGCCTGCAGGATAGGCTCTTAACCCACAACTGAAAAGCTATCAAACCTCACCTGTAAGGTGGTAATCATTTCTGATATTGAAATGCTGCTTAGACAAGACCTCACACTGGTAGGTCCCCTGATGGTCAAGGCGAAGAGAAGGGATGGCATTTAGCTGATCCACCCCCATGGTCGGCTCCTTCAGCTGATCCACCTGCTGCGTTTTGACCTTTAAGAGAATCTCACACATAAAGCTGCCTGATTTCTGGTATTAGAAGTGAGTAATGATTTCTGTCTTAATGGTCATGGTAGCAGCATTGGTGTTAAACCCAAAATCTCATCTTTACCAATAATTAATAATACTTGCATAAATATAAATGATCTCATTTTAACTTAATTGTTCTTCTCTTGTCCATTCTCCCAGGGGAATAAATCCTAAAAGCAGCCACTCACCTTTTCAGAAAAATGCCAGACAACCTCTGTGTCAGCTGGCAAGCGGAACCAGACATCACAGTGCATCATCGGACATCACAGTGCATCTCTGTCCTGCTGCTCTCTGACACTAGATTTTGTTTCAACCAACCAACTGGGTATAAAGAGTCACAGTCATAGAGTACTCGACTGGTTGATTGAAACAGAATCTTGGTCTGGAATTTTACTTCATGGACCTGAAATCTCCACCTCTGACTGGCACTGCCATGACATAGTCACACTGCATGGGTATCACATTGAGTCTGCCTGATCCGATATGTTTACTTCAGGGAAATTATTGCTAAGAAAGGCTTTCCAAATTTATTGTGATTCGAAGAATTAATAATAGCCTCTGAGAGCTGGAGAACGATGCATTAATTTTGCCACAATGAATGGATAATGAATAAATATGTTTGGGAAATATGTGTCACTCAGTAGATTTCAAAGTCATAAAGAGCACCTTGGGATTTTCAGTGTAGAAGGAATTTTCTACATTAATGCACCTTATTAAGAAACCAATGTTCTATAAGTGGAGTAAAACATGTAAGAATATGCATATCTTAAATGCTTTATTTAAATAAATGACCAAAGGTTTAGAAAAGATGATTAAGATTTATTGATTAATTATTACTAGTGGCTGTTCAAATGTAAGGCTCCTCCCCTTTGTCCCAAAACCTCATTTCTATTGGTCGGGCTAGTTCTGATGATGAAAGGCCAATGGAAATAATGACCTTTGTCCCAGGCAGTGACGAAATGGCCACTTTGGTGGCGTATAACTAGAGCATTCTGGAGATGGCCAAAATGCTCGTTGGCGTTGCGGGGAGCAGGAAAGCAGCAGAGGTGGCCCTGCTCACGTAATCTGGTGGCTGAAATCGCTGGGTTGGATCAGGACATGACTAAGACAGCTTAAGGCCACTCTGACATTTCAATAATAAAGGACTACATTTCCTTGACAGTTTTCCATTCATCTGGGTTTTTCTTTGCAATCATACCATATATTTAAACAACCTTGTTTCAAGACATTTAGGAAGTGGTGTAAAACATAAATAAAAACAGAATACAACAGGTCCACTTTCACTGATGTGTTCACCTTCACTGTCTTTCCCAGAGTTACAGTTTGGAAAAGCACCTAAAGAGGCTCACAACCCGGACTGCTGTGCACCCAGAGTGCAGCATGGGGGCGGATCAGTGATGGTTTGGGCTGCAATATCACAGCCTTCCCAAGGCCAGATACTTAGTCTAGATGGACACATTGCTGCCAAGGACTAACAAATCATTTGGGAGGACCTCATTCACCCAGCAGTTCAAACATTGTCCCCTGATAGTGGCGGCATGTTTTAGGATAATAATGCACCAATACACACAGCAAGACTGGTGACAGAGTAGTTTGATGAACATGAAAGTGAAGCTGAACATCTCCCATGGCCTGCACAGTCACCAGATCTGAATGTTATTCGGCTACTTTGAGGTGTTTTGGAGGAGCGAGTCGGGAAACGTTTTCCTCCACCAGCATCACAACCTGGCCACTGTTCAGCAAGAGAAACGGCTCAAAATCCCCCTGGCCACTGTGCAGGACGTGTTCCTGTCATTCCCAATACGAATTGATGCTGTATTGGCCTCAAAAGGAGGCCCTACACCATTCCAACGAATTATCTAAACCCAGGTGCTTCAGTTTCATTGTCCAACTTGTGTTTGCATTTCACAAATAACAAGGTAAAATAATGTAAAACTATGTAGCCTTCTCGTTTTTTGTCATTCCATTGACTTACTTTTACTTCTATGATTATTTCTAAAAAATGGTGCACCTGTTGACAGCTTCAACAGAGCTACATTTGACTGAAATTAGCAACCAATGGAAAGTGCATAATATACACACGTCTAGGACAAGCATCCCAATGAAAACAGTTATTCTCAGATTTCTACAGAATCTACAGGCTGGAGTAACACTGTCCTGAAATAAACCACAAAGCGCTAAAATGTTTAAAGATAAATTTTATTAGATTTTTGTTTTGTATTTTTTCACCTTTGCAATAACACAATCAGCAATCAGATATCAGGTATAATTACTTTGTGTTCCAGCAAACTCAACAGGAAGAGTGGATTTTTGCTTTTTTTTTAAGCTAGCAGGTTGTTGCATTACTTAAGTCCATGTCCCACCCCTCCAGTACAGTCTCACCCATCCCACTGAGAAATGTATGCAAAACAGAGCAACGGTAAAGTAAGTGACAAACATGTAAGATACAGGCACGCACACACACTGCTCTCTCCCACCCCCACTCCCCAGCAACAACTTTGGTATTAAAGGGATTTAAGCAAAATAAAAAAATTCCTACAGCTGAGATCACACAGTAGTTTCATTGAAACAAAAACCCCTAGTATTTATTAGATGCATCACCTTCTTCATGTTGATTTGCTGTTTTGATCACTTACAAAAATTTGAACTCTTTTTTTAGCAAACAAATTTGAAGTCACATGCACAAAGAAAGGGGTTTGCAAACCTGACGGATACAAAGACCCCACATGTTTGGGGATCGACGTCAGCGGTGTTCAGGTGACCCCTGTCACTTCCAGAAATGCAATGACTTACACTTAGACAACATTTGAAATGACAAGCATACATGGAAACGGCAGATCACATAAAAGCACACAACCTTCTGCAGTTACAGAATTCAAAGCTGTCAGTTCATGAATGTCTTGGTTTAGTTTGTTAGTCCTAATTAAACACATTGGGTGGGGCAACTCACTCAGTAATTGCAAGGTGTGGAAAAAAAAACATTTCAAGAATGTAATCATATTAGACTAGCTTTGTGATAAATTACTCTACATTCCATACTAATTGGCTGTGATAAAAAACACACCTAAAGCAAAGATCAATACTGTAAAGATGGACACAGTTTTTACAGTCATCCCAGTCTGCTATAATGAAACAAAAGATCTCTTGCAGTTCTGTAGATAGGACCATTGATGGGGCCTAAAGACAAATCAAGTCTATAGATTATGCACTTTAAAGCACAGATTCAAAACCAAGTAGACAAAAGTAAAAGGAAATTTTAAAAAAAAAAATACGTTTAGCATAAGAATCATTGAAACATGACTATGAACAAGCAGTCAATAGTGACTGATCCAGTTACTCTACCTTATGAGTTTAAGAATTAAGTGTACAGCTTTGCAGTTAAGATGTTTTTCTAAAAAAAAAAAAAAAAAAGGAAATCTTGATGGCCACCCTACCCAGCTTCACAGAGAATGGAATCTCCAACGGCCCAAATGGTTACCATACCACCATGCTCAAACACCCACAACATTTTAGCACTGGAAAAAGCCATATGTTTAGTGAAGCCATTCAGTTCACAGCCCATCTTCACCAGATCCACCACCATGTTGTAGCAAGTGTGAAACATGGCCTAATTAAGGGTGGATCTCTGTGGGGGAGACTGGGTTGTTTCACAGACATTAGCAAAATAAAAGAAAACTCCTGCATTAAAGCAAAGGTTCATTTTGGTCACCATAAGGAAAAAAAAAAAAGGGTATTATGTGACACCATAAACGGGAGCAATGTGTGAAGTTCCTGAAGGTTCTGTGGGAATTACCAACTTGAGGGTGGACCTGAGGGCTGCGGTATTTCATGCACTCTCTCTGATAGGGAGAGGGGGTAAACAAGGCACGATCATTTTGGCTAGTTTATTTCTTACATAACAGTGGTGAAACAGCCGGCTCTCACTGGAGAATGCGTGGATGCTGTGTGTTTAATGCAGGCAAGCTGTTAAAACTCATCCTACAGGTCACCTCATGCTGCCAAGCATATATATGGGATGTGCGACTGATCCACCACATCCCCAGTGGCGCTACAGAGCTCAGAGCGCCAGCTTAAACGGCAACGCTGCACACGCATGACCCAGAAACACTTTAAGGCCAAAACAAGATAACTGTACTTTATTTTCTTTTGAAACAGGTTTTGTTTAGACTGCAAAATGTCTCACACTCATCTACTGCTATACATAGAGCCCTAATCAAATAAAAGCACATTCCTGCAGATTTCAGAAAGCTTGCTAACATTGAACATACTCTAAAAATGATCGCACACATCACATGACATTTTTCACACTCGTCCCGTTTGACAAGAGCACTAGATGCTGTTAGTAAAGATGAGCTGTCCCAGCGCTTTGCGGCACACCAACTCCACTTCATACCAGTTGGTGCACCAAAGATGCTGTCAGCTAATCTTGAACCATATAAACAAAAAGTAGTACTGAACACTATTTCACACTACTTCATGAAACAAAAACCTGTACATAAACAGCATTGTACATATGGATTTAAAAAAAAAAAAACGCTAATCAAACCTAGACTTTTAATCATTGACAGCTGCTCAGGTCAAGGTTAGGTCTACTGGATCTACCATTAATTCATGATATAGTGTATGGCTAGGTGCCAAACCATTTTGTCAGTGAAGGTAAAACAAACTTTGCCCCAAAAGATCAGAAATCTAACAGAAAAAGGGCCATCTGGACTATACACAGGGGATGGAACAGAGTAACCATATTAAAATGGCCTAGCTTGCCTTTGGTCTTGGAAGTACTTAACCTGGTTAAGAACTGTGAGAGGATGATGGTGGTGGTGTAAGAAATAAGTAAATATACCTGTCTGATAAGAAGCCTTTTGGTTACCCTCCAACACTCATTTGGGGTAAGAGCAGATGAATATATAGGGACACAACACTCAAAAGCAGTAGGTGTGTTCAGCCATTGCCAACACACTCCATTTTAAAACGATTTTTCCATAACAGTAGCTGCAAGACATACATATGATACTTAGACAAAAAAACACTTCATTTATTTTCATATATTCCACTTTAAATATAAATATATATACTTCTGGGGAATATGAATAACTGGGCTCCCCCACCAAAGCATCACCCACTCCAAGCCCATTGAGACCATGGGAAGCCCCAGATCACTGCCTGGGTTACCATAGGCAACAGGAGAGGGAATATCATCATAGTGAACGGCACATTCCTGTTCACAGTCAGCTCCTTTCAGATGGTCCAGACCATCACTGAGGAAATGTTTAGTCTTCAGACAGACCTGACTCCGCTCCAAAACTCCAAACCAGATTATACTTTTAGCTGATGTCATTGACCATTGGACTCCACCAATGTCGCAGCCATAACGGCAGAGCTGAAACTGGCCATTCCTATTTACCCGTTTGGTATATCTGTACCAATCTGGCATCCCAAACATCAGAATTTACTAGCACTACTAAAATTACCATTTTTTAAGGGGGGGGGGGGGTGGATACATAAATGGCCACAGGATGTAAAAACCCAAGAGGGACCATCTTCAGCATGAGAGTCTACAGCTCCCTGCTCCCTGATTTACTTTCATGTCAACAACAATGAAGTGTTTACTGGTCTTCAGAGTCTCTTATGAACAAGTCTGGGAACAGAACGCACTTAAAAAGATAAGGCTTGAGCACGCTTAGCCAAATCAAGGTTTGCACTACTGTGCGATAACCAGTGCAACATTTATAGGATACAGACTGAAGCCTATAATCTTCTCGATGGGCAAAGTTGTTAGAAATGACTGACATGCTGGAGGGAATGACATCAAGTGCAATCAGTCATGCAAACCACACGATCGGTGTGCCTGCTCACATCAAGGCCCAAAGCAGCGACCAGCTCAGGCTTCAGATCTAGGGTTCAACTGTGGACAGAAATCGCATGTAGGGGGACCATCCAACCCAGTACAGGTTTCCTTTGATTTAAAAAACCCACCTGATCTATAAAGCAAATGACCAAAATCTGACTAATTAGGGTCCCCCCATCCATGCTACTACTGATCTAAACAGGAAACCACGCGTTTCAAGAATGCATCCCCCCCCCCCACCACAGTTCACCAGAAGTGCTGCAGCAAGTCAATCCCAGCCCTCGACACTTTCTGCTCTTTAGAGGTTGCAAGAGTAGCTGAAGCAGCTAATCTCACCCACCAGTGTGCAGAGATGCTGGAATGAGCCATTTCAGCACAGAAATGAGGACCAAACATGACCTGATCTGAGTGGATTAACCCGGAACTACTTCTGAATTATTGTACCAGCAATTGTTAGACTGATTACGAGGATGCAGCTCGTTAGTGTGACAGAGACTGCTGATTATACCACAGCTCCAACAAGATGGCCAACTCATGGGCAACACCTTACGCCATCCCCAAAACTCAGCCACAAAGTCGTAAACAAGTGATAATGTCTAATACATTCAATAACAGGGGAGAGGGCACCCAAGGGAGACACGACCTGGTCGAGAGCAGCTACGAGATGGGATCAGACACGGTTAGGTCACCTGTTCATGACAGGATCGTAACAGTGGTCCTGCTGGAGAGGAGCAGCTGAGCAGTGGTGAGATAGCACTCATGTTCCTGGTGCTAACAGGTGCTCAGATTGAGGGCAGGTCTTCAGTGGCGGGTGGGACCTGCTGTTATAATGGGGCTGTTTCTGAGGTGGCTCGAGGGTCTCAACCAACAATCCAACTGGTGAAAAACAGGGCACTGACTGGAGGTGCAAGGTGGTAAGTTTAGGAGGATTCCTCGATGGCTTCTCTTTTGGCAAACAAGCCAATCAAATCCCTAGCCAGATTCCACCCCCCTCCCCCAGAAACAGTCCCAAACCCACCAACTCAAGTCAGATTCAAAACGCATTCACATTGAAGCCAAATCAACTATTACAAATTTGAGTCACATTTCATCACGGAAGATTCTCTTGTTCAGGTGAGACCAGTTCATGTTCATAACTGCAGGTTCTCTTAGTGCTCGTTTAAACTTTCACCCAAAAGGTAAAATTCAAATGCTTATTTTTTTTCTCCCCAAAGGAACCTGCGCCGACCCCACAACAAACAAAAAAAACAAAAACGCAAACCCCACACACATGGATCCTGAGGACCAAGTCCTCAAACTAAATGAGATGACTACACCTTCCCTCCTCCATCTACTGCTTTCCAAAGTCCACACCTCTGGATACCATCTTCTGCTGGTTTTGTGAGAAGATTCCCAAAGGTTTTCCACACCATTCAGGGAGGGAAATAACGCTGTCTTGTTAGGATCAGTCGCTTTTAAATCTGATAATATATATTCTTATATATTCATCTCTGTGTATACATGTACATTCGTTCTTCAGTTTTACTTTGGCGATCTTGGGGGGACGTTCTGCTCTTTGCCACTGCGCCTGGGGCCCCCCTGCGGGGAGGTACGGTGTGCTAAGGGGAGACGTCTCTGCTGATCACGCAGTTTGAGGCCCGTGCCATTGGCCTGGGGGGGCCCGTTGCCACGGTGCGAACCGAGGGAGTCGCGCTGTGGTCGGATCTCAGCTGCTTTGCCTCCCAGCGGCCTCTCGGGGGTTTTGTCCGGTCGTTCTCCGGGGCCGTGCCCAGTACGTGGCCGGTCCGCGGGGCCCTGCCCGCTTGCATCTTCTGCCTTGTTTACCCGGAGCTCCCGCAGGGGCTGGCTGGGGGCAGCTGCGGGGCCGGTCGGAGGGGGAGGGTCCTTGGGCGGTCGCTGACACACCTCCGCATAGCTTAATTTACGGGGCTCCTGTTAGGAAGGTGGGACAGAAAATGTCATAAACACACATTGCGGCAAAGAACAACACACTCAGAACTCACACCAAGCTTATCCAAACTCCTGCAGCCATTCCAGCTGACGGAACGAGATTCAAACTGATTTTAACAAAAACATGAGAAGAGGGAGAAGCGGGTGGACAGACTTACTGGTGTGGTGTTGCTGTTTTGGGCTGAGGCTGGGGGTCCGCCACAGGCGTTCGACTGGCTGCGTAAAGGTTTAGTGGTGTGGGCCGGCTGTGGGAGCACCGGCTGTGAGGAGGGGGCCAGGAGGACCGTGGAGTTAGCAGCCGACGCGTGGGGAGAGTCTTTCTGGACTTGGGGTTCAGCCTTGTCAGCCTTCTTTTCCGGATGGGTGACGCTGTAGGAAAGACAAAAGTTTAATGTGTTGATCCTAGAGCTGAACCAAAAAAATTATAATAAAAAAAATAAACGCACAGACCAATCAAACAATGTCACATGTGAAGGCTAACCAGACTAGCAGAGCAATCAGTCCAGTGAGGCATCTAGTCCGTCCAGATGTATGGGCCCCTCTGGCTATTTAAGGACAAGGACGATTAAACTACTCTTCCCAAGGCTGGAGGAGATGAATGACGCAGGGGGGCTGTTTCAGGCAGTCGCTGAGAGCACTTTGGGCTACTTAAGGAAGTGGTACAATCTTGACCTGCTCAAGCAACAGGCAAGATTCACACCGCAGGACAGGCACAGGTCCCCTTGCCCAGACACCCGGGGTCATTTCAAACATTTGCTGAAATCTGCAGCCTGACTACTGGGGATGATGGCTGGACAGAGGAGCTCCTACCTGGAGCCCTGAGACTCAAAGGCTACTGGCACAGGCTTGCAGACGGACTGGGCTGGACTAGGAACAGCGATTTCCTCCTCATGGCCGCTGGTGGAAGTGACTGGGGAATCCTTGTTTCCATCAAGCTGTAGAGAATGACACATCTTTACATGTCTGAAGACCCGACTACATGCTCCCTCGGAGCCACCTGCAGCATCGGCCACTCACCTTGTCCCGACTCAGGCCTCGCACCACGTCTGACAGCCGGTTCTCCAGCACGGGTTCCTCCTGGGTGCTTACTACGCAGCCAGGCAGGGGGGGGAAGTTGGAGGTGGCCAGATCAAACTTGGGGGGCGGAATCTTGACCTCATTCAGAGGGGGCAGCCTCTGCAAAGAGCCGACATGCAGGAGCTTTAAGAAGCCAGCCAGTGTGCTACGGGTGGTGGGGGGGGGCGGGGAGGGCGGGAACCGGTCACTTACCACGGCACGTTCGTCGTCTCGCCTGCGACGCATGCCGCGAGGAGCAGCCCTCCTGCAGGAGAAGCAAATCACAGGAGAAACAAGCTCAGGAACTTCAGAGAGACACACCGGGAGGGTCACGCACCACAGAGTGCGACCCTCAGATCTCATAATCATACAGATCATTGGGAAGGGCCATGGAAGGTAGCTTTGGGGAGGGGGTAGGGACAGAAAGACAGGACAGAGTGAGGTAGAGGAAAAACAGGAAGAGGGGGACAAAGAGGTAGAGCCAGCTATTCCATTTACACCCGAAAATCCCTCTATGCGCCATTTTATCATCACTGGGTCAGCACAAACCGAAACACAGCAAATATCCTGCACCAGATCAACAGACTAACTTCCTGGCATCGTTAAAGCCATGTAGCCCAAGCGGCCCAGCGCATCTGCAAAAGAGCCTACCTGCCACGGCCAGCCAGGGTGATATCGCCGTTAGCTTCTGTGGCGGGTAGGTGGCCGTCCTTCGAGGGGAAGGGGAGGCTCAGCTCAGGTGGCACCAAAAGGGCTGCCCCACCGCGTGTTGTGGGCTGAGGGCTGCGAGGCCCGTCCACCAGGGGCAGAGGCCCGGTCGAGGCTGAGGTCCCTTCACTTGCGCGGGGGTGGGGCTTCACATGATTCCTATGCAAGGACACAATGCATCAGACGGCACGCTACATGCAAACGGGGAGCGCCGGTGACTAGTCTGGAAAGAGGAGTGGACAAAGCCCAGCACAGCTGTGCCAGAGCCCTACAGTGCCAGGCCCTCCCCAGCAGACTGTATGCACTGCTTTACGGTTCAGCAGAGCCCCTAATTAGGCCCAATTAAGCGGACTGAAGAAATTCCACAATTAACAGCCCGTTAAAAATCACCAATTTGCTGTGTGTTCTCAAAACTGTCAAAAAATGGATAACAAATTTGTCTCATTTGACTTAAGATCAACAGGGTAATTAACCAATAACTATACAATTTTGACATTCAGCAATGATTAAGGACAGCGTTTCTCAATCCAGTCCTCACCCTCCCCCAAGACAGTCCACATTTATGCTCCCTCCCAGCTCTGCACTCCAGAACTGGACAATCAAGAATAAGAAATATGTGGTATAAGTGTGTTGGTAACTGGGACGGATCGAAAATGTGGACAGTCTGCCCCCCCCCCCCCCCCCCCGCCGTGGGAAAAAAAAAAAAAAAAAAAAAAAGATTTGGGAGAATGATTACCAAATGGAATACTGTTTAAAAAGTTACACAAAATCAAACAACGGAATTAATAAATAATGGAGACTGGGGTCTCAAATGCGCCAAAAACCAGAACACAGTGAATCATGAAGACCAAGTAAACCATGAAATATTACACGTTCAGAGTAACCTGGACCATACATGCAAATAGGGCTGCCACTAACGACTATCAATCTATCAATTTTTACTGATTAGCCGATTAATCAAAACGATTAATTTTCCTCTAGATCATTTAATTTAATTTTGACAATAACAAACTGTATGTCATTGCAGGGCTTTACGGAACTACATGAACATGAACGTTCTTATGCCCACAATTTGAAAAGCAGGTTAATAGTACACCTAAAGCATTGCGGCATACTTGCGATGGCCAAAACCTGTATAAACTGTATAAATTCGGGATATCCTCATGCTTATTAAATTGTTAGCTGAGCATACCATATGCAACTATTTTTGTATAGAAAGTCAAGATACGGACAGCTCAGCAGCTACAACATCTTTTAAAAGAGTAGATAGTGGTACTTTTTGCAGTTTAAAGTCATACTTTTTGGTAAACAGTTTTGTTTACTTTCAGTTTTTTAAGTTTACAAAAATACTGTTAGTCTGAAGCCCAACATGCAAACATTAGCACGGCAATTTAACATAGAATAAGCCCAGATTCTCGCCTAAACATTTTCTCAAACACTTATTCTATGGAGATTCTAAGGTAGCAGGCAGACAACTTTAATAATGGCTTTAATAACGAAAGTATTTAGAAGCTACAATGACAAAAGATATTGAAACGCTCTCCGCACTAACGGTAATTTAATAAAGATGAAGAGACATCACTCGTGGTGGTTTTGCCTGCTCTGACGTCCATCATCCAGAATAGTGCTGTGCCATTTCCTCCTCAGGTGCTCCTGCCTAGCGCTGGTGCCCGAGCAGGACGCCATCGAAACTTTGTACCGTGTACAAACCACCGCTTTGTTTTCTGACAATTTGAACTACTCCCATAATTACTGATACTGAAGGAAAACATTTGTTATAATGAACTGAAATGTTTTAGAAATTAAAAAGATATTTTCGTTGATTTATTTTATTTTTTTTAAAGGTGCACCAACTCATTTTCAGCATCAAGATTGTGGACTAGGTCAACTGATCGCGGCAGCCCTACATGCAAACATGGGACATCCATGCTGAGGAGATGATGATGGATATGAGAACATTGAGCGTAATACAGGTCAGATGGAGTAAAAAGGGTTTAACATACCACCAATAACAGACAGGTCTTAAGAGGGTATTTAACACAATAACCTCAAAACACCCATCTATAACTGAATGAAGAACGGAATTTTGAAAAGAAAAAAAAAAAAGAGGGGAAACTGTAAAAATGATCGTGCTAATGAAAGAGGGCAAGGGTAACCCAAGCCCGGCCCGATCTTACAGGGTAGCAACCAAAGCGCCAAGAAAGACAAGACGTTTAGTTCACAACACAGAGCAGCATGTTTATGATGAACATGGACAGGTAAATGTTATGGAGGGGGCTGGAAGGGTCACTGCAAGTACCTGAAGGCATTTATTACATTCTTTCTGGAATACAGGGGGACACTGGAACAGCAAGAGAGAACAGGGCAGGATGTCAGTCTGGCCAGAAGGGTCTTTAAATTACCACATGTCAAAAATCACACCTAATGGATGGCATGGGGGGGAAAAACTACACAAAAACCCAGGAGCCTCAGTTAACACAATGACTTTGTGGAAGCTGTTAAATCTGAGAATATGGTGGTACAAATTAACGTCTACCCATCTCCTTAACCAGATGCGCATATAAATAATGCGTCAAACCCCAGAAGTGGTCAGACGAATACTTGGACTTACCGGCTTCTGTGGAAGGGCCGGCCGAGGTTGAGGGAGCCAGAGCTAGTTTTGTAAGTGCTGGGCGAGCTGAACCCGTTGACAAAGCTACCATTTGGGAAGGGAGCCTATGGAACGGAAGGCGAGCGTCGTTAGGGAAGAAGCATGAAAAACCAATAACTCTGGACCCAATGCAGGAAAATGGAGTTGTGCCGTTAAAACATGGTGACTTTGCATTCCGCCTGTTTCAGCTTAGATTTAGGTTCAAATTGATCTACCAACAGCGCCCTCTAGAGCACATTAAAGCACAGAAGACGCTGCGAGAGATACATCAGGTGGTCAAAACGTGGCTGTGCAATTTGGAAGAGCGTGGCTTGACGACTAAGTGGAGGACATATTAAGACCCATGAAAGCACACAAGCATTCACGCGAACCTTCTAATTCTACTAGCAGCTCAAAGCACCTCTTCTGAAGTCTTGGGAAAGGAAGAGAGACGACAGTCTCACCAAGGGCGTCTCAAAGTAGGGCGTTGGGGAGGGCGCCCATGCCGGCGGAACGATGCCATAGACTGGGTACTGCTGCTGGGGGCCGTAGAGCTGCTGCATGAAGAGAGGGGAGCTGTACTGGGACGGAGACTGGGACTGTGGTGAATACATGCTGGAGTCCAGGCCACGGTAGCCGTTCTTGGCAAAGAAAGTGTTGATGGCCTTTATCCGAGCCTGGGACAGAGAAGAGGAAGAGAGGCGTGAAGAAGACTATAGGCAGAACACGAGCTGGCAGCTCAGGTTCACAGCGGAAGTCAAGCAGAGAGCTCCTAGTCATCCTCACTACACTGACATTTAACTGAAGTTCACACACTGATTTTCTCTGTAGATTTAAAAGCAACAAGAAAACGAACGTTGTTTCCTGGAGCTCAAGACATTAAGGTTAGGAAGTCGCAGCGCTGCTCGAGCTTCAATGTTAGTCTGCACTTGCACAATATCTCAAAGGGTACTAAGCCTGAGAGTGCTGGCAGAGAGGGAGGGTGGCTGATCCCACCCCCTTATCAAAAGGGCAAAGTGTAAAGCCAAGCTAAGCCCAATTCCATAAGCACAGGCCGTGCTCCAAAGCCCTGCCCCACACACACTCACCATGATCGGTTTTCCCTGAAATGTTTTCACCTCTTCCCTTAAGTATCTGTATGCCTGAGAACAAACACAAAGCCATCAGCTTCCCCTTGAAGAACAGTACAACCCCCCCCATTTCACCAAAACACATAGAGGCTATTGCATCGTGAAACACCCTGGTAAGGTTTACCTGCTGGGCATCCGTATCAGACTGGAATGTAATGTACCAGTTGTTGTTGTGGGCAAACTCAACACTTATGACCTTGGGACAGCCGTCATTTTTAAAGAGAGCCTCCACCTCCTGAAAGAGGAAAGGAGAACAGGCAGCTGTGTTGAGAAGTCACACTCAAACACACAGGCCACAAGATTATACACTGATGCATGACAAAATTAAAATCCATTTGCATGGAACATTTGCAATGTCATAGAAAGCTCAATTTAGTGATGCTCCGAAATTTCAGAAACCGAAAACATTCAGCCGAAAAAGCCAAAAACTGAATTTTTCACTACCGGCTGAAAGTTTTTGTAGGCCAAAATTACTGACCGAAATTATGATGTTTGATACTACAGCTAAAATTGTTTCACCTAGGTTGATTTGTATAAAAAAAATAATGAAAAGTTATGAAAAAGTGGAAACTTTGACTAACATCACCACTGTCCCCAATAAAAGACAATACACATAAATTCTTCATAAAAAAACCACTTCGAAAACAAACTTGCTTATAGCATATAGACAGCATCTATTTATCCAATGTTTCAAAGCAATCTGTATTTCATAAAAACCTTCCAGCTTTATGATTTTGCAACAGAGCAGCCAATCTATTAGGAACACTGGACCTTTTCAGTTTTAGGGTGTTAAACTCGCTGCCCTTATTAACACTAATAGCACATTATTAAAAACAAAGGGCTGTATATTTCGTTTTACATATCACACTGCGATATTCATTTGTTTTTTATTTTCAGGTGACATTTGAAAATAGCCTATATAACTGCTTGCAGTGTTCAGAACAACCTTTTCACCATCTTGCTGCATTTAAAATCTCTTAAGTGATAATTTCAAAAGCAAAACTTTATTGAATACATTAATTTGAACAAATAGGTACATAAACTTTGGGTAATTACTTGATCATTTCTGTTTCGGTATTCAGCCAGAAAAAAATCTGGTTTTGGTGCTCCAGTTAAAAATTAATTTTGGTGCATCACTACAATAATTAAGTTGGTCCAAAAGCAGAAGACGGGAGAATCACCCAAACAGCATAAAGGTTACATGCAAAACCGGAGTGTGCCTTGATGTTAGGGATGCTTAGGGGTGGGCGATATGACCTCCAATTATTATCACGGTATCTTTCACTCTTTGGACACTGACGGTGATATATTGCAGTTACTTTTTTGAAAGTTTTGGGAGGAGTAGCATGTCCCTTCATGTAAATTTTAAAACGATATATTAATATATTAAGTACACTTTAAGATGGGTATGAGCGGATTTATTTCAAAAAGACTTACAATGTGTCATAGGTAATGTTTTCTCATTTGTTTTTAAATTGTCGGAGCAACAAGCTGCTTCAGCCGAAAACAGCGCATTTTACAGTTCAAATGAAAAGCAGGGTTGCCAACTTCGGTCAGCTAGCTGGAGTGAGATTTTCAATTCGAGACAAGTCTGCACACACATGCACATGCATTTACATGTAGGTAACAGTTTTATTACCTTGTGAATAGTCTGTAGGGTTTGCAAACTACCCCAGTGCTTTTGATGTCGCCAATTGTAGGTTTGTAATGAAATAATCTAGATTTGTATAATATAGATTTCTAGCGTGAGCGTGAGTTTGATAGTCCGAGTGTCACGCCAGATGTGTGAGATTTGGCAACCCTGAAAACGTACGTTTTTTGTTTCACATTGGTTGATTTGTATAAAAACAACATTACTTTATACAATTGTTAAAAAAGGTCACCTTTGACAAACATGAAATCACCAATTTTCTACGTCCATTTATCTAGCATTTATAAAATACTGCGTTTGAAAACTTTTCAGCTGTAGGATTTCAGGACAGAGCAGCCACTCTGTTAGGAAGATCACAGCTTTTTGTTAGATTTGCTGCTGTTAACACTAATGGCACATTAGTGCAAAGGGGCTACATACGCCAAATTACGTCCTGCTTGGAGTTAGTGTTTGACGTTCATTGGCGTGGGAAATGGCCGGTTCTAGTGTTAACTGGGTAGCTGTGCCTTTTATCGCCGAGCACCTTGCATGAAGGCAGCGGCGCATATATATGCTGATTTGGCGAATATGTTTAATTTTAATTTGCTACTATATATACATACATATGTAACCAGGTTATTTCGTTTAATGTGTATAATTACACAAAATCTTTATTTTGAATTTGTTTATTTGCTATTGCTACACTTGAGTGCATTTAATAGAAAATTGACACATCGCTGATAAACCGGTTACATATACTATTTAAAGACAATTATTTAGATTACATATGAAGCTTTGAAGAAAATAAAATGCTTTATTTTTATAAATATATGTTGTATAATTAAAATGCTGAATTCTCACGGTGTTAACGGTATAGTGTAAATCCATATCGTGATGGGAGTGAAAAACATCAGGCTTTTTTCCTCAGAGAACAGAATGAGGTCACTGACAAGCAGCAGCATTGCTGTTTAAAGTAGCAAAGACGTATTAGTTTTATCAGAGCCATAACGAGTGGCCTGAGAGGCAGAAACCTGAGGCATTCCTGCATGTCAGTCCGAGGAGGACCCCTGTAATCAGCACTGAAGTAATGATGGGGACAACAAGGTATTTGATGACCTAATAGCTCATGTTGGAATTGCCCATGTCGGAGGGGCGATTCCAGAGGCAATGGAACTTTAAGGTACACAATAAAACCAAAGAGCACCCCCAAAGCCTCAAATAGTCTAGCCCATAAGTAAGAGTGTGCATGTGCATTTCAGCTGAACTTCCAACTGCGTGAACTACACATGCCCAGGCTCAGAGCAGCCATGCTTAACCTCTGAGGGATAAGTGGGAACAGGGCTAGCAGATGTACCTTGACATATTGTTATTTTTAATGCAAAGCAAACAGAAGGAATCTTTTTGCAGACTTTTTGGAAATCCAAAAAAAAATAATGTTGCGCAATTCAGTCAGTAACTGAAGCCAAAAATCAAAAGGTCAGCAGGAGAAAAGGAAGCGTGGAAGCTGGAGCTGTCGACCTCGCAGACGTACCTCCACAGGCGTGGTCTCCGGCACCTCCCTCAGAATGATGATACAGCGCTTGTGGTTGGGACGCACCTTCTCCCCCTTCTCATCCACCTGCACCATGGGAGAGGCTGCGCACAATAAGACAGGTTAGCTGATATATTTAAGATCTGAATCAAAATTACCCCCAGAGGGCCTATTGTTGAGAGTGCCGGGGGGTAGGGGGGACAGGAAGGTACCCCTTCAGTACATCGATAAACAGGGGCAGGACACACAACACAGCACAAACGGCACAAATACAAAAAATGGACCAAAACACCTTTGCAGCAGCCCTTACCACACAGGTCTGCAGTCTGCACTCCCCCACTGTCCTACACAGATCCCTCAAAAGCTTAACGCCACCATTAGCACCATTTACCAGTTCCATCCACAACGGCCAATTAGAAAAGTTAAAACACACTACATCCCACTAGCCACAACCTTGATCTGGACAATACACATAAAAGGTAATCTAGCAATCTCTGCTGCTCGAAACCCCTTGATACCGCATCTATATGGCAGAACCCTAACATACTCCTGCATAAAAGGGCCATATTACCTCATCACATTTAGAAAACAAGGACAATGAGTTCAGTTGTGTGTAACCATCTACCATAACAATTATAAGTTTCCAGTATTTACTATATTTTTATATGTGTGAAACTTGGAGACAAAAAGTGCACACTAACAGACTGAAATGCCAAATCCTTAAGATAAAAGATGCTGTCAGCAGCATACGTGAAAAACCGTGTGTACAAATAGCTCACTGAAACGTTAAGTGTAAGACCAAGATACTAGTTCTTCCGCCATTAGGGTGCTAGCCTGTAATGTCAACCTTTCAGCAAAGAGCCATCAAGTCTTCATGCTTCTCAGACAGCTACTATACTTGAATGACAGTCCCCTATTCTCCAGGACTAAACCGGCCCCATATACATAGATTTTTATGCTCGACCGAAATTATCCCCACATACCAAGAAATATGTATCCCAGGGTCCCCTGCTAAACAGGTGTTCAGTATCATGGTTTTTACCAATTCATGACAAACAAACCATATACTTTGCAGCCGAACATGCTGGGTGGGATAGGAGTACCAGGGAGACCAGGAAGCCTTAGGCACCATCCTTCAGACAGACAAACTCACCACGTAGTACGTCCAAGATGAGGTCCATATCAGTGGTGAGGATCTTGACGTCTTCCATGCTGGCGATGGTCCAGATGGGAACGAACTGGTCACTGTCCATCTGAGACATCAGGTACAAATCCTTGGACAAGTTCTCTCTGCAAGGAAAATCAAGTCATCTGCTTCTTAGCAGCCGGCACAGGAATAAGCACAACCCAGTATAAAAAAACTCTGAGCCAATCAAAAGCTATTAGACCCCCCCAGCTTACCTGGAAAAGCAGAACTCCAGCTGCTTCTTGAGAGATTCACGCAAGTTCTCTGGTGAAATAGGCTGCTCCTGCGATACATCACCTGCCACAAGAAAAAAAAAAAAGTATTTTAAGGACAGGAGCATACAAATTCCCCTTACATCACATTACATTCAGTTAACCAACATTTTCTTCCAAAGTGAAATGCAATTGGGGAAATTTTGGCCTAAGAGCTCAAGGGAGCCACAGTGATGATCACTTGACAGGCCATAAGATGTGAATGCATGACGTTCCAAAGACAGGCACAGATCTGTAACTCACTGAGCTCCACACTGGCCCCTCATACTCATACAAAGTGTGTTTTGTACTGACCCGCAAGCCCAGACACTGGCTCGTAGACTGTAAAGGCCAGGTCAGGGGAATCAACGCCATTGACGACAGCCTCAGACAGAGAGGACGAGCCACCATCCGCAAGGTCTGTCAGCTCCACACTGCCAGCTTTATGTTCTGCAGGATGAGCCTCCGAAAACCCTAGAAGACAACAGGTCAATAAGTTAAGAACAAACTCTCAAAAGGCTACTTCCAAAGTCGCACAAATCTTTAAGAACATGCTTTTCCCAAACCTCCAGTGATGTCAGTGGGGGACATTTGCTGCCACTGAGAACCGTCACCGCCGTCGACAGGAGCTTCACTGGGAGCTGAGGAGATCTCCTGCCACACCTTGGCATTAGGATTCAGGCCAGCTCCTTTAGAGGTGACCTGTGACAGAAGAGAAAATATCATGCACCTGTTACTTTTTACCTTCTTAGGTCACGTGGCTTTACTACCAGCAACCAGTTACATAAATCAACATAAAACACCCAAAGACATTTTAGGCATGTGTCACTTGACGGTCACTTCCCCCACTAGACATTGAGGTCCAGTCTTATCAGAAATTCTATCCTTTTAACTAGATGAGCAGTTCCTTCTTTAAAAGATTAACCAACAGCTGAAAAGGAAGAATGTTATACGTTACACTAAAGCTGAATTTCCCTCTGATTTTAACCCACACGCCTGAAGGGACATTATGACTGTTAAAGGTGCAATTAACTTCCGAGTATTACTCCAGACAGTATTCCTTAAACAGCTACTTATATGCAAAACAGTTGAGAAAAGTTTTACAGCCAACTCCGTTCAAGATATAATCATCATCTTAAGGTCTATCAAAATCCCAAGAGTTCCACATGACTTTAGATCATAGTACCTTGCACTGCGTCTGCCTAGCAGCGCCGCAGAACCGCATGTCGGAGCAGGAAACGTCAAACCTTACTCAGCACTGTCAGCAGACTGACTCGCATTAACATGATACCGCTTCCATTGCCCAAAAAGCCAGGGATCGGTTAAAATTTAACAACTGCGTCTTAATACGATGTTAATTCGGCAGCCATAGTCGGCTATTAATAACCAACAACCAGAAGGTTAATAAGCACTAACTAAGAAGCTAGTTAAAGACAGAACCAACACCGAACCTTTAATAATAAAATGTGTCGAAAACGGTAAACCTGCGAAAGCTATGGCTCCCGGGCACCACGCGGTCTGTCTTTCGAACTTACTGGCACGACGAGCCACCACCATTACGCAGCATTTACAGGTCGATACGCAAGTGGCCACCTCGTAGACATCTAATGACATCTAAAGTGTCATTCTTACGCTTCCTTAAAACTGTAGTCAGATAAAAATACACACACACAATATCAAGAGGGAAGACTCGGTCTAACCCCGCCGAAAATCGCCCATTTGGATTTAATTTTAAATCTCCAAATGCGTTTTATTCAAACTGGCCACCCCGTTCAGAGAATCGTGCGATCCACCGTCTACGTCTACTTATAAAGTCCTTGCGAAAGTACGGCTTACAAACCTCAAGCAGTAGCATGTCTTCCCCCTTCTATAAGATCTAGAAATTGCCAACGTGAGCATCAATTAAAAAGCTACTGGCGGAGAAATCCAAAGCTCAAAAGCAAGATTAAGGGCAAACTAACACCCAGACGGTGCGGTCCCAGCCGGCCTAGGAACTCAAAGACTCCGCCCCTTACCCTTTATAACGTCTGCTCCACGTGATGCAGCCACCGCAAAGCCATTGGTAGAGCAGCCCCAAAAGACCGGCCCCTTCCGTCGACTGAGCGGCACATGGAAATGGTATCGGGAAACGGAACCGGAAACTCCCCTATTCGTGCGTTGCATCACGTGATACGTACAACAGACACGACTATTTTCTCTGTAAGTAAATGTGGAACACTTGCATATTCTCTGGACAAAGGTAGGAGTAGCGACTACGTTGGTAGTTCTGTGGACTGAAGCGTAAAATACTTATTGTCAGGAGTTATTTTTCAGGAGCACTGAGATTACTTACGGGCAGCAAAGTAGCTCTTTAAGCTCCTATTAAGCTTTACTTGTACAACAGTAGCTCTTAAACTGATGCCTTTCGTGGAGATTCCTTTTTATTGTGTGCTCACGGCATTCTAAACTACATTACAGCCAAAAAGCAGTAAAAATCTAAATGAATACTGTAATTTTACAAAATGTTCCACGCATTGTGTCGTTTATAATGTATGCACTTAGTAGATAACAGGTGGCATAATATTTGCGTGGAATTGCTTTAACATCAAAAGCGCAACGAAGTATTTACATTCGGGGGAGAGCTGACAGCTACAGATCACCCCTCTCTCATTACTTGGCTTCAACGTGGGCAGCATTCTCCAAATATGTAGTCATATGGAGAAGCCTGCAGACAGACAAGTAACACATAAGACAGGATGGCAGAAATGTTTTGTTTTTTTGGGGGGGGGCAATATAAATTGCAATGGTAGCACCACACATTTTGGCAATGATTGAAACAAGGCTGATCACACACAAAGCAACAGAAAGCCGTGGAAAGATCCTGCTGTACTTGTCCACTTGTATTCCTATGCAAAAATACAAATCAGGTGCACTGAAAGGTATATGAAAAAGTTGCCCGAAAGTGTCAACTTGGTACCAACAGAAAGTTGAAATAAAAATGGCTGTAGAAGTCAGGATGTCAATTTTTATATATTTATTCATGAGCATTCCAAAGACTAATTTTCACAAACATGCTACTTGTTTCATGGAGTTTCATTTCCCGCTGTTCCCCAACACACATCTGCACCACACAATAGTGCCAGATTTTGTGCAAGTAAACTGTACACCCAGTTTGTCAACACGAACACTTTACAATGTCAGTTATGAAAAACTAATGGGAAATGGTGTAATCAAAAATGTTTACCAAAAAAAATGCCGGGGGCATGTTGTCTAAGGTTAAATGGTAAAGAACCTCTTGGTTCCACTTAACATTCATACAACATCTGTAAACCAGCAATGCTGCTGTCCATTTTACAGATCGTGTAAACTCTAGAAATTCCTACACCACAAACTTACAGGACTAGCAAGTTGATGAATGATGAAGTGTACTGGACGAGACTCCACAATGAACACCAAGGGGACTTGTGGGGACAAAAGCTGCACTTCCAGCAGCCAGTCCTTAGGACCAACTATTTCAGAGGTGGATTCAAGAACTGAAATAAAGAAATGGCATGTGTAGTTTATACCAGAGAATTCTGAAATGGGTTTTTGTTACAAAGAATAATGCAGCAGACTAGGCTCTGCTATAAACTACAGCCATTTTAAGCTAATCTTACAAGGTTAGGGCACTTATGCCAAATTCAACCATCTCTTAATTGGTTCAATCAGATAGATTCTGCTCCATCAAGAATAGAGTGGCTGCTGATATGACATCTGAAATCATGAGGGAGGGACACGAGTCAAGTGAAGTTTAGGTTGGTATTTGAATAAATATTTGCCCATACAGAAAGCAGGTCAAGCCTACAGAAAAATATGGAACGGCCAGCAGTATATTACTATTAAATATGTACTTGGACCAACTTTAAGAACATGAAATCATTAAAAATATCTAATAATGCAAGCACTTTGCTAAAAATATGATTTTAAATACCTACCTTGATGGGTACACAGTCATATTTTAAAACTTTTCACCAAGATATAAAAGGCTTTATTTGCCAAGCATTAAAAGCTGATGAGTATTACCACCCCAAATCCTTGAAAAGAGTATTCTTGGGGGCAATTCATGCATTAGCTTGCTGATACCTCAAGCAATGAAACAATTTCACCTACTTAATGTCTGTCAGCTGTATAATCACATTCTAACATACAACACAGTCTGTTTGACAGTACTGCTGTGGAAATATGGGAAAACACCGAATGTTTGGAGTGTAACTTTGCTAATTTCTGCGGCCATGTAGATATGCACTTTTAAATGAAGTGTGGCCACGGGTTCTAACTCTAAAATGACTTGTACCTCATTAATAAATGATTCTGTGCATAATAAATTATAAATGCCTTGCACATCGGTACTTGTAGTTTGTTCTAATGAAACGAGGGCTGCCTGTAACTGTGTTCAGCGTTTTACGTGAACAGTTTTAGCGAATGCACCGTCTGTATTGTACCGACGAGATTACAGATCTGTGGCAGATAACGTTCACGAAGAGGCACATTAAGCTGTCCTGGACTTTGTCAAGCTAACTAATCAATAAGAACAAGATAATGCATAAAAGTTTAAGACGGCAAACACGGTAGGTGGCCATGAGGTTAGGGGACAGATCGGTGCTGGGCTGGTCAACGCAATGTCATTGAAATGCAGCCAAGTCAGCAGAGTGCACGCCTAGCTAATGTCAAACAGGCTAAAGGCCACAACAGGCCACCCGCGCGCACGCACACACACACACACACACACACACACAAATGCAGTTCAGCGTCGCCTTACTTTTTTAAACCACAACCAACTGCATAATGTGTCACTGGACAGGGGATCTACCGGTGAGTTGCAACGGAGGCCTAACTGCCCAGGACAGGCCTACGGGTCACACCAACACCCAGGGAGGACAAGAGGCGGTTATTCCCTCCGCGCGGCTGCAAGGCTGCCTCGTAGGGCGTTAAGGTCGAAAAGGGGAACAGATGTGCGTTTGTGTATGAAAGTCACCGACAAGCAAACCCACATGTCCAGCGCCCTTCTGGGTCACTTGAGAAGCCAGACATCTAAACTAAGGGAACGAGCAATGGAAATGGACCCGGTGAATGTTTCAACCACATTTACCCCCCTAGCCGCCGTCACGGGTATTAGCCCGCTAACAGCCAGCGGAACAGTCCAGCACTTAAGCGCTTTGGCTAGCATTAGCACTAGGAATACCACTGCCGTCATCTTTAGCGTTAGCATCACAGTTATCGCTAGCATTAGCGGAACCAGAACCAGGCCGCGAGTTTGCACGTTTCCAGGGCTGGCAGCTTCACAGTCAAGCCAACGTCTGACCATGTAGTTTTCTTATCGAGCCTTACATGTTGACCGGTCGATTTTTGAATGAAACGTTAAGGAACGCACTGCCATATGGAAAGTCATCGTGTGGCTCACACCATGGCTCACTCGGGGGTTAAATAATGCGGCGGTCCATTCACTCGCTTAGCCGTCCCCGGGGCATTCGCTGGGGTATTTCCTTACCGGCAACAAGGTGTACCGCACCAAATTGACATGAAACACTACGGAACCGGCCGGGTCTTCCAGATGGAGCCGGAACCTACAGCTCGCCAAGCCGACATGTCCGGCGCTGCCACAGATGACGCGGCTTGCACGTCCGAACCGACACCTGCCTTCTATATTTGGAGTTGCGATCGCCACCGAAGTCATGTTCAGCAGGGAGGGGGCCAAGCTTATTCGCAACTAGGCCCAACTTACCATGCCGCCCTGGCGTTCGCTCCTATCGACTGCTGTTTCCGTCGGTCCTCCGGTGTCCGATCCCAGCTGGGCCTCCTCCTGCTTCTGCAGCCCTCCGTCCTGCTCCGAACTCATCGGCCGTTCCTAGCTCGCCGGTCCTCCCGCCGCCGCCGCTCTCTCGTGGCTCCCCCGCTTGCCGTGATCCCTCGCCTCGCCGGGGCGAACGCAACCGGGCCCGCCGCTGTCTCCTACTGCGACCGGCTAAACCGCAGGCTGGATAAAGTCACCGTCGAAGCGAAGAGGCAAAGACTGGACGACGCAAGGCTCGTCTATCGTTCTTCTGACCCGTTAGTTACCCCTTGACAAACCGCATTCATGGCCGGGCAACGAAGCGGACACAAGGGACACGCACCATTACTGAGCCTCGCTGACAGACACTAATTTACACACCACCACCGTCCCAGTAGTCAGCGCGGCCTGTGCTCCGCCCCGCGTACCCCTTCCCTAGTAACGCCCCGTGTACTGAAACCGCCGCATAGCAACAGCGCGTGACAGTTGCCGGTGTGAGCGAGGCCAAACTTGACTAGACAGGGAGTAATCTGGTACCGCCATCTGACGCGGTGGTTCAATACCTCTCTGAGCCCAAATATTAGGTTATTATTACTCTGTCGTAGCATGGGCAAAATCTAACTCTGAAGTCATTATTAACACTAGTAACTTATGTTAATTACAAATTTAAAAGTAAATAACCATTTATATTGAGTTTTATTTAAGCACATGAAGTTCACCCAGGCTGAACAGTTTCAAACTATTCAGAAATTTCTATGGCTATTTTCTTACATAATACCTCTATCAGGCTACAGAAAATGTCTGGATATTAATTTTGTACCAATGAAATTTTCAGATTTGCACCTGTTGCATGTCCACATGTTCTGTATGTTACATGACCAAGTTCCATTGCCATATGTTCTTAATACCGGTGTCAAAGATTACTAATTGCCTGGAAGCAACCCCTAGTGATAATTAATTACACATGGTCATGGATCAATCCAGCTTCCTCTGATAACCATTGTATCTAGTGTTAGAATAATCGGTATCTGCCAGCTTGTAGCAGTCGCGGCTATGGTAGCACTATGTGCGGTGTCACAAGCTTACCTCTGGAAGTAGGATGTACACAAACAATCACACAGGTTCCCCCAAACAGCACACAAACATCTGGAGAACAAGTAGTCGCAACGACAGAGCCTATAGAATATTTTTTCATGGGACATGAATTAAAGTAATACATTTAATTACTTAGATGTGTCATGTAGCTTTAACAGACTTTTGATACTCAAAACAGGTACTACAGATGTCTCAATAATTTAGTTACATTTCAGGTAAAACAAATTAACTAATAATGTTCAGGATGATGTCAAGCCCAGTCCTGCCCAATTCTTTTAGAAATTGTTTTATGCAGTATTGTACATACAAAATTTTTCAAATTGTAGCCTTAACGTTAAACACTCAAACAAAACTAAAAAGCCTTTTCAGATTATAGCATAAGGTCCTGTGTTCTGAAAACATTCAAGCTTCATGACATAACATGGATATTTTGTGAAGTGATGAGACTCCTTTCCTCCAGTTCATGTCTGCTCTCCTCTCTCATTATGTATGGCTGGGAGGTTGACCAGTACAATCATAATTTTGACCCCTTTTTGACAGTTGTAAAGTCTTTTATCTGGAAACTCACAACAATATCCAAGTTAGCCATTGAAAGCTAAATTTGCAGTACAGCATGGGTCCTGTTTGTGTGGCCAGCATCAAACAATCCATGCAAACCCCAACCCCACTGCTCTTAAGCCTTGGTGGTCCCAGATTGTGGCGTCTGCTGAGTGTGTAGCTGCTGAATCTTCATATTCATGACCTCAATCACAGCTGAAAAAGAAACAGGAATAACAATTATGGTTCTGCAAACGAATAAACATCAAGACTTTCTCTTACAATACTGATATTTTTCTCAGACTGGTTTGTTTTACTATTTGATTTGTTCAGTTAGACCATTTATTTATTATGTTAATCACAGTTTCCCAAACTGCTCCTTGGGGACCACCAGACAGTACATGTTTTTGCTCCCTCCCAGCTCCCTGAAAAGGCCAAATTTTTGCTCCATATTGGATGCTGGGAGGGAGCAAAACCATGGACCATCTGGTGGGTCTTTGAGGACCGGGTTGGGAAAACATGAAGTAATTGGCCGTCTTTATGCAATGAAATTATTAAGCAGAGAGGAAGTGAAATAGGTTCATTGAGTAGCAGTGATCCGACCACTGCTCTGCACGTATGGAGTTTGCATGTTCTCCTCATGTTTCAGCAATTTTTTATCATACCTCCCCACCCCACCCCACCCCCCTTACAGCACCAGTGTACCCAGGGAGCAATCGCATAGGGTGCTGACAGGCCTGTGCCTTTCATAGAAAGCGATAGAAAGAAAATTCTATTTTCTCCACATTGCTTGGCTTCAGGCAAATAAAATTATAGACTCCGCCCCTTAAATCTTTAGCTAATTTGCAAAATGTACAAGTTTTTCCAAACTTGTCCTAGACTGTTCATCCACTTCATACAAAATTTGAACTGCAACATCTTAAGACCATGTAGACAAAAAGCTGGCTGTAGGATTGTTTTGATGCTACAGACCAAGTAATTTTGTGGCCTGTTTGCAGTTCATGGGCTATTTCTCAAACAAACATCCAATTCTCACCAAACTTGCTATGTCTAGTTGGTAGAAGAGGGTCTGGCTACAGTATGTGCACTCTCAGCCACTTCAACACTCTGCCCCAACAGGAAATGTATCCATGGAATCGTTTACTGATTGCCATATGAAATTATATTCTTAATAATGTCACAGCCACAGATGGAGGTCAAATAAATGACTACTGTATACCATACTATTTAATTATTGTTTCAGACACACAGATAGACCTGACTGCTGTTCAGTATTCACGTTATATGCCAGGGAAATTACTTTGGTACAGTCACGAGAAATGTTTCATCCCCAAGAAGACCACAATTACAGATTAAATGCTGCTGCTTTAGAAGATAAGCAGGGGTTTATAGAATGAAGGGAGGCAAATGTAATTGTTAAATGTTCATAATTCACTGTTTTACCGATAACTGATAAGAAGAATTTTAACCAATTAATACTGTCAGTTAAACGGCTAATAAAAAAAGAATGTTAAAAAGTGTGCAGTGTGGTAAACACACAGAATGGAGAGGGTAAAAGAAATATACACTTGAACAAATAGCCTATCAACTGATGAGGGCGTGTCCACACATGCAACCAACTACACTGGCTGTTGATCATTAATTAGGCTAGATTAAATATACCCGATAGCAGAGGTGGTTTTTGTTACAGAATTCTCCATGCTATATGTTAAGAAGTGTGCAGGCTACTTGCAGTTCATCTGAGTTTTACATTACTTCCCTGCACAGGACATGTAGACTGTGCGGGACCTGCAGGTTAAGTGCACCTGGCACTGGAGAAATACGTTTGGTTGATTTTGTAAATCTCTTTTGTTCATTGCAAAGTTTGGCAATTTGTTGTTGAGTATTTACATAAGTCATGAAGTGTCTTCACTTGAAAAATTAAGGCACTTATAATTTCTAAAGCATTTTTTTGTATTGGTATTTTGCCATTTGGTGACGGACACACATCCATTCTAAAGGGTACATTTTTTTGTTATTGTTACGCAATTGTTAATAGTCGATTGACGAGTTTCGACTTTGGTTGATGAAAAAATCCAAAATGGACATCCCTAATTAAATGTAGAAATTATTGAGAATCATTTCATATCACAATCAGTAAGCGATTACACGGATGCATTTTCTGTTGTGGCAAAGTGTGCATGTGACGTCTGAGGCAGAGCGCGCAAGTGGCTGAGAGTGCACATACTGCAGCCAGACCCTTCTCAGTTGGTATGACATTCCAAACAAATCTCCAGATTTCATAATATGTTATATGTAATAATTATACAATTATTCTTGTATATGACAGAGAAACATGTAATTTTCTGTAATGGTGCAATATTCCTTCTGTTACTCAGGCCAGAAAAAAGACATAGGTTTGGCTTTTGGTTGCACCATAGAACCCATAGTGCATTGGCTCTTATACAATAATGTAGATATTATAGAGCCATACAAACATGAAGTGCTTACACATTTAATACACATTCATTTACAGATAATCTAATGGAGCATTTAACGTCAAATGTCTTGTTGGTCGGGGATTCAAACCTGCAATCTATCAATTACAATTACAAGTGCTAACCATTAAGACACCACGTTCTGTAAAAATGGCACCATACCTCAGGTGAGGTCCTGACTTTTTGAGGTCATAAAAGACCCTTGGCATCTTTCAAGAGAGTACAGGTGATCCCCTGGCTAAAAATTGCCCTTTCAAATCTGGCTTCCAAATCATCCCCTGTATCCAATTGCTGAATTATCTCCTGCCCCTTCACCACCTTAGTCACTTTATGGTGAGTGTACTGGTGCAGAATGGCTGCTGTTACATCATCTAAGTGGGTGCTACACAGTAGTGGTGGAGATTGAAATGGTTCCCCAATGGTGTTGTAAAGCACTTTGGGTGTCTTGAAAAATGCTATATAGATGTAACATTCATCAATCAATGTATAGTAGCTACATTATATAGTAACTACTTGAGACAAAGGATGCACCATAATTCATTAATGATGAACAAACATTAGATTAGTATTTCACTTGTAACTCATTCCTTACTTGTACCTTAATAGTTTCTTCAGTAGTTCACAAAGACTTATAGAATTAACAAATATAGCAGTTGCTTAATGATGAATGAACATGAGATCAGTATGTAATGAAGACTTATGTATTAACAACAAAGTAATACATAGCATAATACTACATAATTTGTGCCCCCTCAAGCAAAGAATTACTATATAAATCTGTTGTTACTGATAAGTCTGTAGATAAACATGTCAGACTTTAGACTGCAAAAAGTCCCGCCACACCACTGACATCTTTTTACCTTGTGTATCAACAATGTCTCCTTTTTTAAAAGGTGTTGTGGCTGCTGAGCTGTTACTTTCTTCACTGGCACTCCAGTGCATATCACTTTCCATGATATATCAAAAAGGTAGCATGTGGCATGCTCCCAAACTTAATAAACATAAAGGTATGCTAAGTGTTACTAACTTGTGGGTGTCATAATATGTCTTTCTTTAATATTTTAGGAGTACTATTAATCTGCTTATCAAATTGTGAGCGTAGGTAAATGCCCATAAAGTACCAAAAAGGCGACATCCGGACAATTTTCACACACATCTTCTGAAGCCTTGGTGATTATTGCACATGCATACATATTGAGATTATATCGCAATGTGATACTGCGCAGCCCTATTCTGACTTGACTTTGAGGTACAACAAAATGCAACAAGCAGCTCCCTCAGTGGTACTTCCAGCAAAATGAGAATGGACATCACAATGGACATCACAATGGACATGCTTGCTTGGCTCACCTTGCTTCATGGCATGCTTCTCCTGGAGGGCTGGCTGAATCTTCTCAATCTGCTTCGTGAGGAAGTCAATTTTTCGCTTGAAGAATTCCTTTGTATCCTCTACATTCTGATATAATGCAAAATGACTTTTACATACACACCACACATAACAAAAGCTTTACATCTGGCCAACTGCACTTCCACCTTTTAGGGTTAACTGGGATAAAGTACACACTGGATAAGGTGACAATTTTTTATTTTTTTTTACAATTTTACCCCTAACATAACATGAAAATATTGATTTAAATACTGAATACTGATTTCCTTACCTTTTCCACATAATATCCAGTTCCAACGTCCACCAAGACATGCTCAACGTCATTCAGTGTCCCAGGAACATACATCTACATATGCTTCATTAAGGGACATCACCGTTACCCTCAGTGTCCTTCAACTTAGCACTGAGATGTCAGCTCAATGAACAGACACTGCAGGCAATTCCATGCTTTTAACATTATATTATGGAACTGGCATGTTCATGACAAACTTGTGGAACTAAAAAGGATACAGAACTGGTGAGGGGAACAAGAAGTTCTTTTCCTGAAAGAGAAAGGATGAGAAGAAATGTTTGCCCAAAAGAGTAAATACATGAAAAAGTTTATTTTTCCCTTGAGGAAAGGTCAGGCTTGATTGATTCGTGTTTTTACCCGGCAAGCCTCAGTAAAGGATCGTGCATTTTACCTTTAGCACAAGGGCATGGGATGTTTAGATAATTTGGAAAAGATTAAAGAAAAATGTTAGCATTGAAAATTCCTATAAATGAAAAATATGAAATATATTAATATCTACAAAACACAGAATTGCACAAAGTACTACAGGAAAAATAAAATTAAGAATTTACTGTTTCTGAAACTGCATTTCAGTTAAAAAAAATGCTAATTTGTTAAATATAGAATTGAACATTTCACTTCTAACAGCTGTTCCAAAGCACTTAAAATTTTACAGAACTACAAGACACAATAACAAGGAAGAGCCACAAGAAAGTATTAATGTTAAGCAATGTACCATGCCAGCGAGGAGAAAGACAAATTGCAATCTATAGACAGAAGTAACAAATAGCAAACAAAGATTTAAGAATTTAAGAACTGTTTCTCCATGATTTCATACAACGACAATTGATGAAAATAGGATTTTTTTTCTTCTGATTATGTGTGCCCATATGTAACAGGCAGACAGTAATGAACTAAGTCTTTAAACTGTGACTGAGAGCACAATGTGCACATGCATCTAAAATGTCTAGATGAAAATGTCTAAATGCTCTAATGACTCACCTGCATTGTCCTTGTTGAGGACACTTATACTGTCCTTGGCTTCCACGTACTTTGTCTGCACAACCTTTAACTGACCAATTGAGGAAGTCAAGAACTCGGTCTCCTATAAAACAAATTTTCAACAATTATACCTAGAAACCCTGAATTAAAAACAGAATTTCTCCAACATATTTTAGCCAGTTATATATATATATTTTTTTTAATTATTTGTGCACGACATGCACTTTAATAATTATTGAATCAATACGTGTTGCTCAATAATAATGCGACTTTTCAATTATTTTTTAATGACCACGCTAATGGAGGTTAGCATTTGAGCCACAGTTCACCTAAACTACATGTTCACGCTCAATCTAATAATAAAAGATAAAAATTAAAAATTTTACTAACATCTTAAAATAAATTAAATGTTGCTGAACAAATACACATCGATAACAACAATAATACAGTCTAACGGAAAACACCCTACCTTCATAGAGTTATCCATAATTTCTGTGTTGCTTGTACCAAGGCGATTAATGTATCTAGTGTAATACATCTACACTGACGTAAGTTAGCGATGTATTTTATATTGACACTCGTTTGGATGTCGATGTAGCCTTAATAAAGTTATATTACTCTAAAACCAGTTCTGCTTTAAATATGTTTTCTACAGCAGAAAAATACTACATTGTCGGGATACGATTAAAAAACAATAAAGACCGCAGACAGCACACAAGTCAAGCCCCATCTCTTACACTGGAGCACCGCATGGCTATGAAACAAGTTAGTGAACCGGTATCGGCTTTCACATGCTCGCTTCCACCACTTCTCACCTAACCTTACATTCATAATATAATCTGAAAAAGGCAAAATCCTCTACCTGATCCAGCTGTGTCTTCAAGCCTTCTAACTGAGGGAGAGACAGCTCTGTAAGATTGACCGCCATGATGAACACACTAACACAACAGCGCCGCCGTAACCAACAGGGAGCAGAAGCAGCTACGGTGGCCCAAATGCGTTTTATTTATCTGTACGCAAGAAAGGCGAAAGAAACCGTTGAGTCCACTGACACACCCTCCGTATACGATCCTACTATTTATGGCAGCATGGCGAGGGCGTCCGAATCTATCCCAGCACAAGACGGTTTTTAGCTGCTACCTTCATAGGGGCTGGTTTGCGTGGCTCTGTGGGTTAGAACGCTGATCATAAACGTGAGGGAGGGGGGATAAACCAGGGCCTCATTCAACAACGTCATTCTAAAGTTATTTCTTTAATTTGTTCTTGTGAAAGGTCCTAACACAGGAGGTTCTAAGAAAAATCTACGTCAAATCGATGACGCGTTCGTAAACCACGGAACTTTTCACAAATGTGTTCTAAAAATGATGCATCCAATCATCCTCGAAAACAGTCAGCACGTGCCAGTTGTTCATAGTTAGCATATGCAAACGCCCACTCAGTATAAAAGGGCACAAGATTGCAGGGTTGTGTGCACACAGAAAGCTGAAACAGAAATTAAGAAAAAGCTGAGAGAGAAGTCTAGAATGCCTAAACGTAAATCTGAAGAAAGCAAACCAGCTGTCATATTTAGTAGCGTCAGTAGTAGATATAAAATAACACTGAAACAGAAGCTTGGGATGGTATTATTCGTTCAAGGTTTGTCCTGGGTATGATTTTAAACTGCATCTGGCCCTGCAAGTGGTCCTTCAACTTGCAGGGAAACAATTTTTTTGAGGGTTGGTGGCGGGATTGGCACCGTAAAACAACTCACAACTGCTCGATACAAACAAGCACGATACTCTTCTGCTCACCGCAGGAGTAGCTCTGCTGCAGCCGCCGGCAGGAAGGTTGCATAAAACCATGGAGGAGATGGGGGAAAGCCTTTGGGAGCCCCATGCTTGGATGAGTGGAAACCGTCAGAGAACTAATAGGGTCAGGCCTGTTGGGGATCGGGGCTGGTGTGGTACTGAGGCGTGGCCTGCTGTATGGCGGCACTTGGGTCCCAGTTTGAGGCGATCCATCTGGGTAGGCACGTGGAACGTCTTGTCTCTCCGGCAAGATGGCCACCTTCCTCTGCTGTCAGGGGAGCTTCGTAAATGCCACGTTTCAGTGGCAGCACTCTATGAGGTACTCAGCCCGGGGAGTGGTCAGAACTCTGTAGGTGGGTATACCTACTTTTGGTCTGGCCAGTCTGATGGCTGCCATACTGTTCGCGGGATCCCTCCCAACTATGGCATAGCTGTTGCCGTAGTGGATCGCCTCCTTCTGATGGTGTCTGATGTCACTCCTTTCAACAAGCGTATTGTGAGACTCAGGCTAAGGCACTTCTTGGGTGTCTTGCCTATTGTCTCAATGTATGCTCCGATCGCGGTGAGTGATGTCTCGTTGATGGAGACCTTTTACTCACAACATCGCTCGGTGGTTGAAGGGTGCCCACGAGGTGACACTCCTCTGGTCATGGGTGACTTTAATGCGACCACTGGCACTGACAGGGCTGGCTATGAGGACTGTGTCGGTCTGCATGGGTCTGGAGACCGTGGTGAAGGTGGCTCCATGTTCCTTCACTTTGTGAAAGGTCAGGGACTGCGAGTCGCTGGATCCTGGTTCTAACGCCCTGAGCCGCATCATTGGACTTGGCACTCCAATACCGGTGGTGCAGCGAAGGAGATCAATCACATCCTTGTGGGCAGACGCTGGAGGCTCCTGCAGAACTGCAGGGTCTACAGAAGTGCCCAGTTTGTGAATTCTGACCACAGAGTTGTTGTTGCTACTCTGAAGATTCAGCTTAGATCCAGTAAGCTACCACCTACTAGGAGAATGAGGCTGGACTTAGCCAGACTCCAAGATCAAGCTGTTTCTGATGAGTTTGCATGCAATTTGTGTGAAGAACTTGCAGACTTGGGTGCGACTGCTGACTCTAATGTGATGTGGGAGACCATCCTTGATAAGACTCTAAAGGTTGCCGAGGGTTGTGTTGGTGCTGCCAATGTTCCCAGAAGGAGATGTTTCATCTCGCAGGGCACCCTGGATATTATCGAGAGGAGTTGCAGCGCACAACTTGGTGGCAACTCCAGTCTGTACCGGGAGCTGAGAAAGTTGGCTGTGAGGGCTCTGAGGGCAGATAAGGAGGCTTTGTTAGACAAATCTGTGAGCAGGTAACACACCATCTGTAGTCTAGTGACCCACGTCCTGCTTACAAAGGAATCAAAGCATTACGCATATCTGAATCTGTTCCTTGGAGACTTGTAGTCAGGGCTGAGTGATGTAACGGTCTTTACATATGACACTGCAGTTGTGACCCGCTGGGCCGGCTACTTTGAGCAGTTGTTTAAAGCTGACTCTCCAGCTAGGATGTTGGACATTTCTAGGTCCACGGTTCTCGAAGCTGACACTCCGATCAGTTGTGAACCACCCAATCTCACTGAGGAGCAGGGATCTGTGGTATCCGGGGTGAACTTCTCCAAGCTGGTGGTAAGGCTGTCCTCCTGGCATTGCAGGCAATCTTTGTTTCGATTTGGGAGTCAGGCATCATCCCATCTGATTGGAAAACAGGACTTGTGGTCCCTATCTGTAAAGGGAAGGGTGATCGCCTGGATTGTGGCAACTACAGGGGGATAACACTGATTTCAGTGCCAGGTAAGGTCCTTGCTAGGGTCATCCTTAACAGGATCCGTAAACACTTGTTTGTCTGTCAGTGACTGGAGCAGTCTGGTTTTACACCTAAGAAGTCTTTGCACTGAGGGTTCTCATCGAGTGCAAGTGCGAATATCAGCAGAGGTTCTTTGCAGTCTTTGTTGATTTTCATAAGGTGTTCGATCCAGTTTATCGTGTTGCCCTGTGGGACATCCAGAGAGTTCGCTGGATCCCTCCCAAGTTGCTGGACGTCATGGCCGACCTGTACACTGGTACTGTGAGTGCTGTGCAGAGTGGAGGGGGAACCTCTGCATTCTTCCCAGTTGATTCTGGGGTTCGCCAGGGGTGTGTTCTTGCTCCTACTCTGTTCAATGCTTGTATGGACTGGGTGTTGGGCAGGGTCGTGGGGTCCAGCAGCTGTGGGGCATCCGTTGGTGAAGAAAGATTTACTGATGTTGATGTCTGATCTTTGCTGACGATGCTGTGATCTTAGCGGAGTCAAGGGATGCTCTGATCGGGGCTCTCGAGAGACTGAGCGAGGAGTCTGAGTGTCTGGGATTGCGGGTGTCCTTGTTAAAGACCAAGATCCAGGCATTTAATGACTGCTTGGACATAGCCATCAGTAGTGTGTCTGTCTGAGAGGAGAATGTCGACCTTGTCGAGAGATTCACCTACCTTGGCAGCGACATTCATGTCTCTGGTGACTCTTCCTATGAAGTCAGCAGACGGATTGGAAAAGCATGGGGGGTCATCAGGTCACTGGAAAGGGGTGTGTGGCGTTCACGATATTTTTGCAAGAGGACGAAGGTCCAAGTCTTTAGAGTCCTGGTGCTCCCTGTCTTGCTGTATGGCTGTGAGACATGGATGCTATCCAGTGACCTGAGACGAAGACTGGACTCCTTTGGTACTGTGTCTCTTCTAAGAATCCTTGATTTTGTGTCAAACGAGCGGTTGCTAGAGGAGTTCCGAATGAGGCACATTACCTGCATTGTGAGGGAGCGTCAGATACAGCACTACGGCCATGTGGCGCGTTTCCCTGAGGGTGATCCGGCTCACAGGATCCTCATTGCTGAGGATCCAAGCAGCTGGACCAGGCCGAGGGGACGCCCACGTAACACCTGGCTGTGGCAGATGGATGGCCATCTCCGGAGGGTGGGACTGGACCGTGTCTCTGCCTGGGGGATCGCTGGTCGGGATCCCAAGGAGTTTTGCTGTGTGGTGGGTGTGGCAACGCGCTGCATCAGCGCATGCTCCCTGACCTGATGCTATCAAAATTAATGTTTCAATAATAATTAATCATTACATTTTGTTAAATATTATTTAAAGTTTATTTTTAATTATCAATTTCTAAACAAACCGTACTGTACCATTTGCACACCAAATTATTTTGTCATTTCCTACACTATCAGAATATAAAGAGTACCAATGTGTACCTTTGCTTGTCATGGGGCTGTAATCTCAAGGATAAATGTATCCTTTAAGATACAGAAATGGACTATGAAGAACATTTTTGTACTATTATGGGGTACATTCATGGTGTTTGTACCTTGCATAGTCCATTTATGTATCTTAAATTACACTAAAAGGTACATTTTCCTATAGCTAGGGTAAACTGGCAGACCCTTGAGGCTACAGCCCCAGTGACAAGCAAAAGTACAAACTGCTACTCTTTTTTCTGACTGTATTTAAACCTTCTTATATAATATACAAAGCATCTAAATCATGCGCCTGTATTTACAAAGTTACTCTTGCATGCACTGGGAGCACTACGTTTTGGACCTATTAAAAATGCAATATTCACAACACTGAAAACTTACTGTGAGAAACGACAGTTTCCACGGCCATAAATGCAGCTAACAAGTGTGTGGCTGCATGGTTGCAGAGAAGATGCGCGGCGTATCAAAGCCAAAAGAGCAAACTAGAGATGGGTGTGATCCATAGACACAAGTGGAAGGGAACAGAATGACCAGCAGTGACCTCTGCTGGCCACAAGGGAACGTGACAGACAGATCCCACTTAACTTCCCAAGAGCATCTGGCTGCAGAGAGTCCTGCAGGAAGTATAGGCTATCATTTACATCTATATACCGCTTGCAGACGTCACACACCCTGCTCTCAATTGTTTTTAACCTGTCCGACTCTGCTGCCCCCACGTCCAATTAGCACTGGCCCCTCCCAATCCTTCGCCAAACTCCTCAGTCGGCTGTCTCCATCGACTTCTCCGTTTTTACCAGGTCAGCTAGATTCCTTCGCTTTATTCCTTTTCGCTGTCCGACAGATTAAACCGCCGCATGTGCCAGGGAGCAAACATTCCCCTGCATGCCTCTATTAGGGACCCGTCTGTATCACCACCGGCAACAGGAACAACACATCCGCCCCTGAAAA